GACATTTTCTTTATATCCAAGTCTGAATACAAAGACCCATCGAATGAAAAAGAAATGGGAAAATCAAATAAGCTATTAAAAAAGGGCAGTGGTCGGGGCAAATAAGCCAAATGTGGCTTCCTGCAGAAAGCCTGCAACCTAAACTGACACCAATTAGGAATCTCAGTTCCATGCTGCCAGATATATTTCAAAGTTGAATCATGTGACAGTAACCAATTACTTGAATTTGACTTTGCATGGACTGAATTGTGACCTGAAACCTAGATTTATTTTTCATGCAGTCTGATAGAAAGGATCTTACTTCTAATTTGGCCAGATGAAGGAACTGAACAGAGAGCATTTAAATCTCATTTGCCTGTCTTTTAATGCTAATAATCTCACTTCTCAAGCATCACTGCTATCGATCCACTGGACTTACATAGACAGCATCCTGGGGGAGCACTGTGATGGCCCTATATCTATACATCTAACTGATTTAAAATGGCTGTCAAGGTAGTCTTCCTGACCTTGCATGTTAATACAGGGCTTTCAGTTATTTTACTTTGAACAACATAAAGAACTAGTGAATAACAAGAAATGAATCTGATTTATATTAAACATTTTCAAAGAAAAGTGTGGAATTTTACATACTGAAAAGACAGTAACCCAGACAAAAATACTTTTAAAGACTACAGACAGTAACTGTGAAACAATGGCAGTAAGGTTTGAGCAGTGTGCTTTCAGAGGAGGTTAATTTTTAGAAGAAAGATGTATCACACCTCCAAGGCAAATATAAATGTATTCCAGTATTTCTTTCATTTTTTCATTCAGATATAAATCCTCTGTTGCTAGGTATAGAGCCAAGGATTGCAACATCTAGGGCAAAACCAAGTTGTGCAAACACAGTAATCGCATAACTCTGAAGGCGTATGCTATTTCTTACAATAACCTGATATCAACTCAAGATGAAGGCTAAGGAACAGATTATTCATCTCCACAAATTTTTGAAGGTAATGCTATTTTTTATATCAAAACTGGAGAATAACCTAATACTATTATCATGAGCAAAGCACTAAGTACAGTAATATTAAAGGGACAATCATATTAAACCGAAAAATTCACTGTTAGCTCACATTCTGTCATCCCAAAGCCATGTCACTGCTTGAACAGTCTTACTTTTTTATACTTAAACTGATTAATTTTAAAACTGAACAGCTACTATCAAGCTCAGCAAGCGCAGGCAAATTTCTAAATAGCTTAAATGTCTTTGTATACTCTTTATCCTTATATTTGTGTTGACATGTTGCTGGAATAAACAACAAATACAAAACAAACAAATAAAATATTTTATATAGCATCTTTCATGGTACGCCATCTGAAGAAGCTGTACAATAAGAGAGACTGGTATACACAAATTAAAATAAACTAAGCATTTAAACACCCGAGTAAAACAGAGTGAGTTTTTAGATTTGAAGATTCAGAGAGAGATCTGCTGACTTTCTAAAATCTGATACTGCTGGGAGATCTGTATTGGAGCATCAGAACAGACCGCATAGACTCCCAGCTTTTGGAGCCTCGTAAACGTCAAACCTTTGGAAGGTTTGGTGTCTATGTTACCATCATCAATAAGGTTACTTCTCCATTCAAGATACAAAAGTAGCCAATTATATATGGCTGCTGAAAATGAACAATCAAGTGGGACTGATCCATGCCAGAAATTGTACAAGGATTTTTCTGGCCAGGCTTATGTTGCAGGAGATAACATACAGAATGTTCTTATTCAATGGCTAAAATGCTAAACAGTGTTCTCAATTTCAAGCTTTCAACCTCTGTTTTCCTGTGTACCATGTAAACATCAGGCTTACAGCAGCTTCTCTTGGCACTTCAAACAGAAAAAGGATTGTGGACATGGTGAGCTGAATATCAGAAATTACTGTAACACTCTGCTACTGACGTCTGGGTTACTAATCTTCTTTAAGGAACATCATCTCCCTGGTATATATAATTGGGTAAAATGTTTCTTTCTTCAGAAACCCTTCAAATGAAATTCACCATCATGCATTTTATGTAATTCTATATAATCATAATGAAGGAAACACGTTTGCACTAACATAACGTATTTCATATATTTTATATATCATTTTACATAAGAGGCACCATGGCCTATCCAAAAAAAATACATCTCTTACCATTGTCAGCCTTGTAGTAACCAAAGTAGAACACTGATTTAAAATTCAGATATATTCTGATTATTTTTACTAGTCCAATCAGTATGGGATTATAACATCTGTGAACCTGAAATCACAGCACAGCTGAAGTTCACCCCCTTGGAACGTCAGGTAAAGATGTCTCATAGCACCATTAAAGAACTTCGGTAAAAAATGATGGTACTCAACTGAATTTTAAAATACAAAACTCCTAGAAATCAGAAATAATGGACTTTTAAAAAGATTCATTTTATTAAATCTCTTCATTTGAGAATGGCAATTCCAGAAAGGCAATAGTAAGGTTATACAAAGGCTACAAAATCTATCAAGATAGCCAGCCTAGGATAGAGGCACACTGCTAACCAGTAAATAATTAATGTAAAAATATATGTTAATGGACACAGTGAGGCATTTTTTACATATTTGTAGTATGATGCACATCCTCCAATGTATCCAACCACCCAATGACATTAAATCTTAGTTACACACCTTAAAAGCGATTTTATTCTATTAGTATGTGAATTAATTACCTATCAACATAAGTCTCTTGTGAAGATATGAAAACAGTAACATTTTTCTGTGTGTAAAAAAAATAAATTAATAGCATTTTATTCATTAGGCCTAATTATAATATATTTTCTGGTGAAAATGATAATAGGATTATACAGTTTACTATTGAAACATTCTGAAGTGGGTTAAAACCACTGCTAATATCTTAAAAGCCAAATCCCTCTTTAATCTATAAGAGAATGTTTCCAGTAGTAAATAAAAAATAGCCTTTCATGGCTACTAATGAAGGCTCAAACACTTCAATGCAAATTAGAATTAAGATGTTAAATTAGCGCTTTAAAATAATAACACTAGGAACTGAGATGACGTAAATTTCATACTACATTGAAAAGGAATCTGACCAAATCTTCAATTCAACTGTAAAGAGCTGAGGGATGACAAAACTATGACCCGGTGAAATATGGAATCGTGAACAGTTGTAACTCAGTACTGAAACTGCATGGTTCTCATTCATTCACTCAACAGCACAGAGCACACAACTAACGTGCAAAAAACAAGAAATGACAATGAGAGGGTAATAGCATTTGTCCCACGTTTTTTCTGATGATGGTTGGTGCGATGATGAGGGGCACAAATCATCGCACAAGACATGGTGTAAAAAAATCAGTGCACTATGCTTACTTATGATGGCAATGGTTTCGATTAAACTGTAAATAAAGGTATCAATGTCGTGATCTGTAAGGTGCACATTTTGAAGTAACTCAATAATTTAATTTGAAAACAAGACATTACAAATATTTTACTTTAAAAAACATTAAGCTAGCTGTATGCATATTCATATTGTAAAAAGTAATGCAAGAGCTGACAAGTGTGATATGTATTCTGATTGTGACCTACAGAAAAATCCCTCCTGATGCTTGTTTGAGAAATGTGAATTTATGCATTAATCCATCCCAGAGCTGCAGGCGTTATTAAACAAGACCCTGCTGTAAAAGAGAATTACATACTCTACATTTACCAAAGTTAAATGTACACAGACCTCTGAAGTGTAAATCTCCCTGTTTATTTTGCACTAGACTGTAGAACTACAGTACTCAGGAAGAAATGGTATACTTTTAAGAAACTGCAGACTCAGCAATTTAGGAATTGAATGAGATGATTCCAAACCTGAAACAAGACAGGATAGGTGTTTGTGAGCCAAACACCTGAACACAAATGTCATTCAGAGCTACTATGGTGGCTTATGTGAATATTGCCCATTGTATTCAATATTCCACATTAGTATTTTCACTTTGACTTCAGTCAGCTCATTTATTTCCTTTTTTGTTTCAATCCCATCTCTATTCTGGCTATCCACAAATCAAATTAAGTTTAAAACAATGTTTTTAATATAGCTTCCCTTCTTTGTCAATGCACATTTATATTTGATACTAGTCTGAATTATTTTTAGTGTCACTAACACAATTAATCACTGCTTTGCTGTCAATTTGTTTAACTGAAAACAGGACGGCTATATAGGTGATTATGATAGTCACAAGCTGGTTTTAATTTTACTATTTGTTGAGTGGAATGCAAAAAACTTCGAGTCTCTTCGGCGTTACACATTGTAGGTGCTACTAATACAAATGCACTGCTCAAACCACAGCATTTTTACAAAATAACCACAGAGAATCTCAATGGCATTTATACTGCATGATATACTGTATTTCAGACAGACCTGATAGGAAACAAGTGTGCTGTAACTACAACAACGAAAGAACAAAGCATCTGGAGTTCCCAAAAGGGACAAACAGTATGTCGTGGTACCATGTGTGAATTTCTCTTTCGCGATACTGTGCACACTCCTTTGGGAGAAGAATATGGTGCAACACGGGAAACGCATGATTTTATTTCATCACAGCACAGTAATGCTTGTTTTCTGTAATATTACAATAAAGCCAAAAATATCAATTTGTTGGAAGAGCGTGTTCAATCCCCATTGACCACAACCAAGCACCCACACATGAAAGAAATTCAAAAGAGCCTGACCCCACTGGAGCTTCTGCTCTCTGGGGCTTTGTTCTGATCTTCAAAGGGCAAGTCCCTCTCAACTGGATCAATTGCACAAACAAGGGGAAAAAAAACAAAACACTTTCATTTTTCTTCTGCAATTGAACCTAATTAGAATTATATTAGAGACATAGAGGAAAGGGTTTAGATGCCTTAGACAGCCATCTCAATGCAATCCCCCTGGTCTTGGAAAACGCATTACAGTAATTGAAAAAAAAAAAGACGAGATGCATTGTTGGGACTGAAATCTCCTACCTGACAGGCGCCCCTCTGCTCTGCGCTGGTTTGAGCAGGACTGTCACTGTGCTGTCAGTCTGATTCAAAGGGGTCTCATGATCATAGCCCGGCATAGAGGGAGCTAAAAAAAAATAGGCAGCAAAATATACAAAAAGATTTTATTTTCCATAATGTTGCCTCTTACAACTGCCATTTTCGCTTTCCAGAAAAAAAGTTACAGCACACATAAGTGCTGCTTCCAAGATGAACTGCCTCATGCTGTTTTACTCTGGGTAGTCTTATTATTTAGTCCAGGACTAAATAATGTACCTGTACAAAATAATAAACCATTACTCAATTTTAGTATACTGCGTACTTTGATAAAACGGTTTCTTTGTAGGTAAGACACATTTTTCCATTTAGCAATAAGCATGAAGAGCACAAAATCAAACATCCTACAGTAACAATAATCTAAGTGGTATTGGACAGTAATCTAAGGTAACAAGAAATGTAAATATTGATATTTAGGTTCAATATTTGCTTTTAAACTGCTGCCCTTATTATGTTTGTGCTAAAATGTATAATTCAGGCAAAAAATTATTCAGGCTTTATCTAAACTCCACTCACTAATGTATAAGAGCAGTACACAGAAAAATATAAAATAAACGTGACACATACTCACTTACAGTACTTGCATTTCAAATCGGCACTTTTCTCAGTAGTAATATATCATTAGAAAAGTCCAGGACAGTACAGATTATTTTCTTTATGAACTATTTCAAAGCAATACAGGGGTTCTTATAAAATGTTTTAGGCGATTCCAGCAAATGAGTATCATGAGAATTGTACACTGTGGTGCAAAGGAGATGAAAACAAATAGAAATTCGACCATGCGTCATATTGATTCACAACACAGAGCTTTTAAAAACTGTTGTCTGAACAGGCCAGTCAGCTTTATAAGCATCCTATGAATCTGAACAGAATATGTGAAGGCACCAAGTCTGAGATTAATATTTTCTTAAGGAAAAGTACAGTAAAATTATTTTTTTTAAATCTTACCTGATATCTTGGTGGTAAATTGAGTGATAACAGGAGGGCCAAAGCCCTTGGCAGTACTGGCTCTGATTGTGAATGAGTACGTTGATCCAGGATAGAGACCCACAAACAAGTGAGCAGTCTCATTTCCTTGCTTAAACACCTTCCCACTCTGGTTGGACAAGTCAAATTCTGGGTCAAAGGAGCTGACAGCCTTGTAGGAAATCTGTGTGAAGAACAACAAAGCCTTAAAATGGAATTCACCCAGAAAATCCTTTGGATATATGCTCTGTCAGACTTCAGTGAGATAAAGTGCCCTGCTTGTCCGGCACTCATGAAATTCTGTAACAAGGGTAAAGGGAAAAAAAAAGTGTGGGCTTTGGAAAAATTATCACAGAGCTATTGCGTCTAAGAAATTCTGACCCACTCTCTGTCTGCTGGACAGCACTAAGCTTCTACTAATACTTTGAGGTTGTTTGACACTATAGTATCCTCTTCTTCTTTGAAAAGGAAAAAAATAAGTAAGGACTCGAATTAATAAAGCAATGGGCCAGGATTAATTAATCTGGATCACACTGATTAATTGCGACAATAAACGTTTGATGCAACTAATGCATACATACTTAATTTAAAGAAATCACACATTTAAAAAAGTCAAGATTCTTAGCATTACACATTCTTATTCCAATGAAAGAACAAAGGGAGTTTGAATGAGGCAGAACTGTTTCAATAAGGTGTGAAATGCTAAGATATTTGTAATTCTTCTTCATTTAAATGAAGTGACTAAAAACACTACATCATTTTTAGACATAATATAAGAAGTTATCTTCATTTTTAGAAGTAACATAAGAAACAGAATTCCATTAATCATTGAATGTTCTCAGTAATATAATGACAGAAAGGACCAATGGAGATGAATAAAATGATTATCAGGCCTGTGTTTTGTTTGTATTTTCGAACAATAATGCACAAATTATCTGCTTTGTCAAAATCAATATAGCAAGGAAGGCATCAAAAATACAGCAACTGTAGTATTCTTTTCAAAGTGTCATAAAACGACACCTGCAACCAGGACTGTATAAAACACAGCACTATTTTATCCCACTTCTATGGATTCCCTCAGGCACGTCTTTGTAAAAGAAATAATTCGTAGTTAAAGATAAACAACTGTATACGGATCATCCAAGAGCAGCTTAAACATTTTAAACTGAGGAATCACTAGATACACTACTGTTGAAAAGGCAAAAGCAGGACTGATTAATCTCTTTCATTTTTATAGGTTTCATTTAAGATAAGAGTAAAGAGTTTCAGCCTAAATGTTCTGCTCCTTCAACATTCTAGAGTGCTGCTTCAGAGAGGTACTGCCTGAAAGGAATAAAAATCACCTCCATGTGCACCATGAAGCAGCCCTGTCAACCCAGGGCACCATTCAAACAAACTCATACCAGAGCTCAAGAAAAAACAAAACGTCACTAACTGCAAAATAATACCCACAGCTGGCTACAGAACTTTCCAAAAGTGCTCAAACTCGAACATGAACAAAATATAAGCAAACTAAACACAGAGAACTCTGCTAACAGCAATGTCATAAAAGGAAAAGATTTAACTGAGAAAGGTTACATGGAGTAATGCCAGTTTCAAACTGTTCTTAATGTGCAGGGGAAGAAAAATCTTAACAGTAGTAACTGATTTTAGCAAACTGACTTAATGAAGCAGAAAACCTTTGATTTGCTCATTTTTAAATGACAGTTTTTCAAAATGCAAGCAAAATTAATGGAGGATTAGCTGACAGAAAGAAGAACTTAAATGTAAGTATCTGACAGCTTAATTGGCTAACTTAAAAAAAACATTTTATTCCGGTACAATGAATCTTTTGAATACATGAAGTTTTAATATTGTATTGTGTAGACTTCGTCAATTAACTGAAAGATCAAATCAACAGAGCATTCAACTGAGTAACAGATAGGCTGATTTCACTGTACAAGTGGAAAGACTAGGGCTAGACAACTTTTTAAAATATCCATAATTACAGTATTGGATAAAATGGGATTCATCAGTTTGGCTGAATTCTACACTATACTGTATATCCAACATTAAAGGATAAGAAAAAAAGTGTTAAACTTTTTAAACTGTATTAAGATGATTTTGGTTTATTAAGACAACACTTCTGCACGATATTTATAGAACAGCTAAAACAGTTTAAACTTTTTAATATTTAATTATAAGTAATTATTCAGTATGAAGACCAATGTATGGAAAGTCTGAATTTACTGAAAATCCCCATTTATGTGAATACTGAACAATCCCATTACAAGTTAATCCCAATAATATATACATTCATTGCTGCATGTTTATTGATTAAGCGATTGCCCAGTATGGTGTCCCAGCACTGTTCCTTCCAGACCATTATTTCTAAGACCCCTTGGCAGTGCTGTAGGTAGCGCCACCCTTTGAATGAGGGATTTATAAAAGGTACTTACTATGTCGGTCATTAAATTAGACTGTGGCACTGTTCGTAAGAGCAAGGGTGTTAACCCCAGCGTCCTAGCTAGATTCCACTTTATTTTCTATCTCAAGTTTAAGGTTCTAGATGGTGAAGCAAATTATTGGAGTTACTGCTGCATGTTTCCTATACATTATCCAAGTGGACTTAACTAATTTTAAAGTCAACGGTCTTTCAGAATAAGTATTTGTAAATGTAGAGACTTAAATATCATACACTCAGAATCTACAATCACATGATGAATTCAGTAATAGGTTCACAGTTTTAAATAACAATAAAGGGGGTTCTTTATTGATAATGTATAACTTATTGTTTGTATTTTTTTGTGAAGGTGGGGATGTGTTCTTTATTTTTAATGGTATGTTAGCATTTAATTTATACTGTGTTCTGAAATAAAGTCTGCAATAGCTGCTCATGGGAAGAATTACCTCATACAGTGTAATAATTCCATAGGTCTGTGCAGGCTCCCTCCACTGCAGATAGATCTTTTCTTCAAACGTGCTTCCCTGAATGGATTCTAGAGGCACTGCACCAGGTACTGAAGGGAAAAAAATATTTGAAAAGTGTCGGCACAGAAAAGAGGACATTCAACACCAAGAACAAAGAGCCTGCTGCATCAGCTTAGCTAAAACCTCACATACATTGTCAAAAAGCTGGCAATTCAAAACCAATGTTTACCTCAAGCACATCTTTCACAATAAACCTCCCTCCTCACCTTCACTTAAACAGGAGCATTTCAATGAAGTCCATGAGAACGTTTCTACAGTATTATGCGTGCTGGTCAAAGAGTATATACTGTATCTAAACAATATGGACTGTGTTCACTTGCTCTGTGCTGAGGGATTTTCAAAAGATTCTGTATTTCCACTTCTCCTGGGAATCGACTGCACCTTTGTAGTTCTACTTTCAAAGAATATCTGGAATATAGATTTCTAGAATCCTTTCTGCATTTTCACCCCTCATTCAAAAAATGAAGATTCAGCCAAGAAATTCTAAAAAAAAAAAAAAAAGGTTTGTCCTCTTGTATTCCAAGATACGGCATATAAATTTAGGATGTGCACGAATGGTCACTTGACAAAAGTTAAAAACAGGTTCATTTTTGCTGCACACCAAGAATCAGTAAGACACGATTCAGTTGTTTCTTCAAATGTGTATAACAAATGGAACCAAAACAGCAACAACAAAAAAAGCCCTCCAAAACGGGAGTTCAAAGAAACCTTTTTTTTTCCCCCGTTTTTCTCCGTAGCCCCTCAGTTATGACGGCGCAAGTTTTTTAACAAGTGACGAGCGGTTCGATTCCGATCTTACCATCTTCATCAGTCAGCACTTCCAGCTCCTGGCTCTCTCTCCGGCCCTCGGGATTGCTGAGCGCCAGCCTGACGCTGACGTTGGTGTAGGGAGACAGATCCCTGATGGTGTGCTGGGGAGAGGGGCTGCCGGGGTCCTGCCACACCTCCTCCCTGGCCTCCTCCTTGGCTCCGGCGCGGTAGCGGTACTGCACCGTCAGGTTGAAGCTGTGGCAGCGGGTCACGCTGTACCCAAACGGCTCCCAGCGCACGGTGATTTGTCTGGACTGGATGTCCACCACCTCCAGGTTCTTGGGCCCATGCATGGGATCTTAAAAAGAGGAAAAGAAAAACCCTGCAGTTAATATCTGGCTAAAACGTGTACCAGTGATACCGTTTGCATCTCACAATTTGCACACGTACAGTACTTTACTGGTAAGGGCTCTGGAAAAGCAAAGGCATCGGAGACTGTAAAAACATACCATAATTTTCATCTCGTACTGTAACCTCTGGCTTTCAAGTTATTATAAAGAAATACCTTCATACTAGAGGTTTACATTTATTTCTGAAGCCATCTTTTACTTATGTTGCGGTATTCCTGACAACCTCACAATGTCAGTTTACGAACAACCACTCATAAGACACACAAAAATAACTGCATTAAAACACTATATAAACTATTATAAAATACCATAAGAATGCAGAAAAAGAACTAAATGTGACCACTGTGAAGAATTACCTCATCGCATACAGACACTCCACAATAAAGTAAATGCAGACTTTTATGCATACAGTGAGTTGCAATTGTCTGACACACAGTACCTGATATACAGGCTGCTTATCAGAACTGTACTGTGTATCCCCAAATTCTCAACAGCTCTAGTGGGACAGTCTATTGACATTTCACGGAGACGCTTCTCTGGGTAAATCTCATGGGTATGGGATTTTAGGAGTGTTCAAGCCTTTCTTTCCATCCTTTAACACCAAACCATCCACTAAGTAAGCAGTGGAATCCAATCTGTTTTTCCACATCTGTATTTAACAATAATTTTTATTCAATACTTACTATTAATAATTTTTAATATATTGAGCATCAAAGAATATTTACTGTGAAACTGTAATATTAACTGTGCCTACTGTGAAAGTCCTAGGCTAGTAGCGAGAAGCTATACTAATCATACATCTGTGATGCATACTTTCAAGGTTGCCTCTTAAGTCTCTTAAGACACCATCCCAGCTCATCCCAAATGATCCATGGGGTTAACGTGTGGAAAGTTATGTATTGGTACTGTACTGTCACATTAACATTTTGTAAGAACACTGCTGCTCCCACAAGCAGCAGAGGGACATGAACTGTCCTGCTGGAATGTTGTCATGTCAGTATGAGACCCAAGGAAAGGCAGGGCTTGATCGATGTAGGGCAGTGTTGTCTGGATACCATCAAACACTAGACGTCAACATCTG